AACGTTTCTAGATTGAACAAGACCCCCTAAATTTTCAAGGAGGAAACAAAGGCGACCAAAACAGTTCCTGTCCATATGGAGGTTCTCAAGGCAAGTGGTGTCGCTAACGTCAACTAGCCTTTGCATATGACTCACCTGAAGGGGCACTCTATCCCTCAATCAGTATGTGAGTCCGCTAGTCAACGAAGGTCGACGGCGGCGAAGGAGTATGAATTTGTGGTAGTAGTAACTAGCTACTATGAAAAAAAACAAGCACCAACAACAATCACTTCCAAAAGAGTGAGAATTAGAAATTTGTCTCGCATGTTATCCATCTACAAAGATTGAACAACATACGGACTTCAATGTGTGTCAACTATGTGTAAGTAGTATACATTATGGAGAAAGGAAGTGTTGAATTATATTCACACATACTCTATCTAAGGGCACACAGTAAATTATGGTTTAAAGTCTGGAACATCATGCTTTTATATATTTGGAAAAATTTTATACCAAACACAATTAGAACAAATTAAGCACAAGTAAGCAAATCACACCAATCACAAATGCATGAACCAGCTAAAACAGTTCAAACTGAAATGATAATACTGTAGAAATTCCACTCAATTTTCAGCAACAATTAATATGTTCTGTGCAAGTATGCAAACAACATTTCTCAGCAAAAAATTAATTTAAGCTCCACCATTGACTTGCAATTCTCAGCAAAAATTAATTTTGGCTCCACAAAACAGCATTTATAGGCATTTGCATTTGACATTGTCAGAATTACCAAGATACAAATATGGAGAGATTATAGTCCATGCAAATGGTCAATAGGTATTTCATGCAGACACAAAAGTTAATTTATTCATATGAAGTCATGATTTTACTAAACTTGGTTTCAGTAGATTTTCCCTGTAAATGGTAAGGCAACAGATTGATTGAATCACATAATTGACATGCATTTAAGGACTACAACAAACAAATCTATACCACCACAATTGTACATGACATATCAGTTAAGAAAATAATGCAAAAATAACCACCGGATCAATCAGTAATGTAGAACATCATGTTTGTACTGATATTTTGACTTCATTTTGTACCAAAACAATTAGAACAAAGTAAGCACAATTAAGCAAATCACAACAATCACAAGACCATGAACCAGCCCAAACACAACTTAACTAATGACGAGTATATACAACATATATGGTGAAGGATTAGACATATAATAATGGTCTAAAAGTAGGACAATTATAATTATATTCAAGGAAACTACTGAAAGATACATCCAAAATTAGAGGAAATGAAAAACAGAGGAAAAACGATGACAAATAACTGTGTTGCTTTGCTTGATATTAATAAACGAGCTGCAACTCATTATCTACAGCAAAAGGATTTAAGGACTACAACAAACAAATCTGTGCAAGTATAACAAATAGCTGGCCATGCTAGAAAATTGCATTTCAAGATTGTAGATCATAATTAACAGCAATCTTATAAAGGTTGCCTCTGCTTGTAGTCATTCCACAATGATACAAAAAACCTTAAAACATATCAACTTAAAACAAATTAGACATCAAAACTGTACCACATAACAGAGACCTACAAATAGAGACCACCTAATTGAATTAATAACTGAAATCATACCAAAAGACCATGAACCACATAACAATGCATGTATCCCCACAAAGTACCAATGGATGCAACAGATCTAACAAGAAAGGCTGAAACCAATACAACAATGTACTGAACAAAGCAAAGTTTGTATACACTTATGCAAGAATCAAAAAATAAAATCATAATATTGTTCCAAACAGTGCATTCCTTTACATTCCCCCTAAACAATTCAGCACAATTAAGCATATCACAAAAATCACAAGTCAATGAACCAGCCCAAACAGTCCCAACTGAAATCATATCAATTTAAAACAAATGAGTCATCAAAACTGTACAATCTAACAAAGACCTAGAAACAGAGACCACATAATTGAATTCACATCTGAAATCATAACAACTTACAACAAACAGAGACCATGAACCACATAACAATGCATGTATCCCCACAAAGCACCAATAGATGCAACAGATTTAGCAAGAATGGCTGAAACCAGTACAATAATGTACTGAACAAGAAAGGCTGAAACCAGTATAAGAATAGAGAAATATATAGACGATAAAAAAACCCAAAGAAACATGTCAGAAGGGTGGACATAGATTGTTCTTGAAAAGGTTATTGTGGCGATTGTGTTGCTAACCTTTAGGCTCGATGAACAGACTCGAATCTTACACCTCGACGAGAATGGCGGCTTCGTGTCTGTAGTAACAAGGGTTCTTCAATACCCGATTTCACAATAATTGCTCGATTTGACAACAATGGCCGAATAAATCAAACTTAAACAAGTAAAAACTTGACGATTGTAAGAGGCTCACCTTCAGCAAGACGAATAAACCGAAGCTCAAACCGATTATGTAACAATGGCGACGCTCTCTCTGCAATTAGGGAAAAATGCCCGATATTTCAAATTGAGGGATGAAGTGTAAATCAAATTGAAAAAGTAAAAGGGAGAGTCTGGAGCTCACCTGTAGATGTGACGGAGAATCCGAAGATAGGGAAAATTGCTCGTCTCGTTTCTGAAGAACCTAGGGCAAATTGCTCGTCAACAAATTGTGTTCTTCGAATATTGCGACAAATCGCACGAAACCGAAAATGAAAATGAAAGTAGTAAAAGAGGAGCTCACCTTTCGATTCTCAGAAGCTTCAATCGACGATGAACAATGGCATCGCAAGGTTCTTTCTGTAGCTAGGGCAAATGCCCGATTTTTCCACTTTATTTGTAATAAAATTGTTATTTCATCGAAAATAAGGGGTATTTTAGTCAGTTTACATAAAAATCTGAGGGTAAAATAGGTATGATAAAAATGGGATAAAATTATCACAGGTGGGTCGCGGGATATTTTAGTCCGAATTTTGGCCGATTAGCGCTTGCCACGCGGACGACAGGTCAGAATAAGCTCATCCCACTCCCGCGGAGTAAACATGAGATAGCCTGGATTATTTCCCTTATCCTATCCTAATCCCGCAAAGTAAACGACCCCTCGGAGTCTCTCATTTAGATTTTCGTGAGCACATGTGGAATTTTGTCTGAATTAAATTGCCTATAATTTTTCTGAGCGTGTCATTGCTAGAACATGCATTGAATCGAGAAGATAGTTATTTTCGTATTTGATCTCTTATTTTTCTCGTGTGAAAAATGATAAAATGGATGACGTGAATATAATGTTGATAACAACACCCCTTTGAATTCTTGTCGAGGAACCCACGGATGGTGCAAATCTTGACAAATTATTGAGACAAATGTTCAAGTGTCGAGGACAAAATGAGCGAACACGAATCTATCAATGTGAGATGACAATTGAGGTTAAGTTTTGATGGTGCTGATCACCAGTGGCAATCTCGGAGACAGAAATCAAGTTTCTTTTGGGAAGGTTGGATAATTCCCAGTGGTATTCTCGACTTTAAGGTACACAATTAATCTCAACTCTCGACATCTATTTTGGTCGACATGATTTATCAACGCATTGAATTTCTTAGCACTCTTTCTTGGAGAAATGTGCACCATTCGAATATATTTTGGAGAAATGTTGTTGGTGTCATGGCTTACATGGATATGTTTCGAATCATTGTGTGGATAATTGAAAAAAATGCGGAAAAAGAGGCATATGCGAAACCTTGAACAATAATCTTGACTGACGAAGGCCTTCAGGCTGGCCAGTCTCGAGTCTCCACGACTAAAGAATTTGGTATTAGGATGAACACATTTGAATTTTCACTTGCTACATTCTTTTGATGATTGTAGGTACCTGCGGAGTATGCTTTGTCGAATTATTTACTGAACTCTTGGTTTTGTAAAATTCTGGTCTACCGTACATTTGAGTGGATATTTATGTCCTTTATTATCGGGATAAAGAGCTTAATTGTGGATTATGGTGTGATATAGTAA